AGGACCGGCCTGTTGGGGCAGGCGGGCGGCCGCCGTGTCATGGGTGCCTGAACAGGCAGGAGCTGGAAGAAAATAAACCCCAAACGTCCCTTTGGCCTGTTTTTACCGATAAAGAGGTACCTGAGCCGGTGTTCCCCTGAGGGGCGAGGGCTCAGACCTCTCCAGCATGGTCCGCCGTGTTCACCTGAGGTCTTTTCTTCTGCAACTCGCTTTCCAGCGACGCCATGGGACGGTGAGGTGTGGTGACAGCTTAGATGCTCTCCTGGCGCTGGGTGTCTTAAAGTAAAGATGACTAAAATTGATGTAAAAATAGCCTGACTTCTCTTCTGTGCATGTGTGTTAATCATAGACACGGTCTATATAGAGCCAACCAGGGCACCCACAGGCCTGTTGGTGGGAAGCTCAGTGTCTAATTTGTTGCCTGCAATTACGGAGTGGTGAAAGGTGGCTTTTCTGCCCTCTGCCTTCCTATCCTGTAAGTGGTAAAATGAAGTTGACAGGAACGCAGCGCTCGGGCAGAGTTGGAGGTAGGTAATAGGCCATGTTGTGCTTTGCTTCAGTGTAGCAGGGAGCCAGGAGCAAGCAAGCACAGCAGTCACACAGAACCTGCAACATCAGCACTGGTTAACCCAAAATGTTTTGCCTTTGATTACTTCATCCCATGGAAGTGCATGAGAACTCAAAGTATTTGAAGTTTCAAAGTCCAACATGAGAAACTGCAAATATGTATGGCACAGGGCAGGAGAACTATGAAATACAAAAAGAGCAGAATCCTATTTTTAGTGGGTCAAGAAACATAGAGGGAGCAAAGGGAGAGGAGAATCTTTGCTTCTTTTGCTGGGGGAGGATGCTAATGTGTCTTTTTGTCCCTCTTAAAAATTCACGTGATATCTACCCATCTGTAGATTATTGAAGAATGTGTCAGGGTACAACATTGCAAGCATGAAGGCTAAAATCCAGGCATCTGTTTTATGGTGACATGATTGTATTTAACTGACACAAACACAACAAAAAAGAAAAATTTAGAAGATAAGATTACCTTATTAAACAAGTCCCTCTGCTTTTTCACTAGAGAACAGAGAATACTCCTACATAGTTTCTCTGATCCTTGAATGAATTTTCGAGGAAACTCATAGGGCACAAGATCAGTCCCAAGAAATACCTGATCCAAACAAAGAGAAACCTTTCAGACTTCAGACAGACATCATGATGATGCCAAAAAAAGTTACTGGCTCATTAGTTTCTCTTTCTTTCTGTCATTTCCAAGTTTTCACATTGAAGTAACATGAAAACATTCTGTCTTTTAATCACACTGTGATACTTGCAAATAATCAAATTCAAAAGTGAACAACAAATTAGGTAAGAGAAAATGTCAAATAGGTCATGTTATATTCTATTTCACAAGTAATCAGTCACAAACTTATTTTTTCTATTCCACTGAAAATTGTAGCAAACATTCATATTTTTAGCAAAAAAATTAGAACAAAAAATTGCTTATGGTTTTTCATTTCAGTTCAGGCCTTGTTGGAGTACAAGAGGATCCTTGGAAGGTCCCTGCCCTCTCTACTCCTTGTGATTTTCCTGGTGTCCTGTATTCCCATTTACATCCCAGTTGAGTCACTAGCCTTCAGTCTGGTAACACAGCTCCATGTGGGGCTATATCATAAACCTGACCTGTGAAAAAATCCAGGGTAAAAGCCATCATACTTACACCTCTTTTTTGGTGTCACCATAGAAGAGTTATCTTTAGCAAGATAATTTCTTACCTTCATTTTACAGTACTAGTTCATTAACAGTTGAAGCAGCACTTTTAACAGGGTGGTAATTGACAATGTCATTGGAGGCTGGAGCAAGCAGCAGAGACAGAATCTTTAAAATCAATTCAGTCATAGAAAAATTGTTAACAAAGAATGATGTCCTTACTTTCATTTGATTCAATGTAAGTATATCCATATAATATTTTTATCAATTTAACTAAATTTTTAGAAGAAAAATTATAACTGTGGTTTACCTTGTGTATGGAGGAGCCAAATTCTGCATTAAAAGACTCCTGATCTCTCTGAGTTTGGCTAGGCTCTCTTTCTTTTCTGCAAAACATTATATTGAGATGCTTACTACTGCTATCGTTATGATGCCTCATTACGAAACAACATTACGTAATGGACTCTGCTCCTTCCTTTCCTCAAATTACACTGGGTTCATAGGATGTTTTTATGTCATCCAATAATCATCCCCAAAGAGAAAACTATTTTAAAGAAACAAATGTACTTTGTTTTGGTGACAGAATCCTTTCTATCAAGTGCTAGGGTATGGATTATGTATATCCTTTCTCCTTTATCACTAAATCATATGAACACATTAAGAGTGATTTTCCTTTTGCAGAAATTCATGCTATTTTACAGAGCAGTAACCTGCATAATTCACATTGCATTTACCTTAGCAATATCAGATTATTAATAATAAAGCTTCAAAACAAACTTGTATTACAGTAATCAGAGTGGAGAGCACAGCCTTTTATACCTCTCTACTATGATTCAGTTTCTGAGTCACTTCCACCTTTTACATGTCAGACTTTCCAGACCTGAAACTTGTTTGATTTATTAAACTTATTCACTGATCTGACTGTCCTCCCAGGTTCCAGGCATAAAACTGGAATAGCATAGTGTTTTTCCAGTTAACAGATGGGGCTAACTCATTTAAAATTAAATAGCCCCCAGCTTTTTCAGATCTATCCTGGGGCCATGGTGAGTGCAAATTGAGATGCAGAATCAGAAAGCCATCACCAGCCTGTCTTCCCCTGCTACAAAGGGGAAAATATTATTAGAAAACAACAAGACCTGAGACACTGGTCCTGTATGCCCATGTTCTAAACACAGGTCAGAGATGCTTGTGCACTGATCACGTGATCTATTAGATAAGAATTAGCTTTCACTCATCCAGGAATCCCTAAAAACACAGACAATTTGCTTCAGAAAGTATTCAAGAGGTTAGAAAAAAGAGCTGATAAAATTATTATAATGAGGGTCATTTATTGGACAGTAATTCAGCAACATGAAATGACAGTGACATCTGAGATAATTAAACTAATTTGAACAAAATGCCATTCATTCTGCACCTCATTGCTGGAGTTTGAATCCGGAGGAACTCTGATTTGAAGGGTAAATCTTGACCCATGTTTTCTAACTCAGGAGGAATAAATAGAATATGCTAGAAGGAAATAGGGTCATTTACTTGTAAAATAAAGTGTGTGTTTTTATATCAGCTTTTAGGCATCAGAAACAGAACAAAGCCCAAATAGTGATGACTAATAAGATATATCCCTTTGCATTTAATCTTGCAAATTGTTCTGTTAAATGGAAAATGAGAATGTTCAAAATGACAAATTTGGGCTCTAATTCTCTCAAAAGGTCTCTTCACTAAAAAAAGCATTCTGTGGGAAGCAGAACTAATGAAGATTTTATTGGGTCTCTTTGCTCAATGAAAAACCTGTAAGAATTGACAATGTCTGAGACCTCTGCCTTCTCAGGTTGCATTGTAAGGAGCAGGACCAAATTATTGAAAAAGTGAATGACAGGGAGATTGTCACTTAACCAAGGCAATCACAAGTGCCTTCTGTGTTGTTGGGTTTTTTTCTTTTTAGAATAACTCTGTAGAAATGGGTAAATTGAAAACCTGTATCATAAATAGATGGAGTCTCCATTATTTGGGAGTGATGGCTAGGGCTCCAAGAAGCACATGCTGAGTTGAAGAGCAGAAGCAGAGTGATTTTATCAGCGTAATCCTTCAGTTTAGCTAAACAGCATGACTAGGAGGGAAGTCTTAGTACTGCTGTAACATGACAATACTGATTTGGGGACCAAGGCTGGTACCTGCACAACAGTGCTTAGCTGAATATTTTGGTTTTACGAGCTCACAGCAGTTAGTTCAAATCTTTTAGCACCAACATTCAAATATGCTCTATGTTTACTTCAGTCTGCTCCAATGGAAATGCTTTTTGCATCTTGTATCTGTTTTAGTCACAATGTGTGAAAACACTCTTGTTCATGAAAAATGTAATAACTCTAAAAGCATCCATATCCACTCATGGATTTAATGTACTAGACAAATATAAAAATAGCTTGGTAGAAAGAAAAATTATTGAACCACACTGAGCAACATGATAAAGAGGTATGTTTCTGAACCGGGCAGATAATCTCTGAAAAAAACAGAACATAATTATGGAGAAACTGCATATATATATATATATATATAAGTAATAGGAAAATCAGGTAAGGGATAGTTCTGAAAATCTCTCATATAAATCAAGGGTTCTTTAACAGCTGTCTGTGGCTTTTAAAGACTCCCATAAAATCATGATATTTACCATGTTGTACCAGAGCACAAGATTTTCCAGGCGGATATCAAGATGTCAGCAGCTATTGGTGTCAATGAATCAATATTAAATTTCCGCTCTGCACAACTCAGATGCAATTTCTTAAAGTTACTAGTGGTGGGATTCATCTTGCCACACTTCACTGATACAAAATCAATGCCTAGTCTAAGCTTCCACTATGGTTAGGATTGAGATAAGTACCTCCAGAGGATGATCACTCTCCTCTTACTTAAGTATTAAAAATATAATTCCATGTATCACATTTACTTTATGCAGGTCTTCTGCTATCTAGTTACTTAAACAATTTCAATAATTTTTTTCTTAGGCAGCTAAAATAAAATTATTGAAGGGCTTCTTCAGATCTTAGTGAATTGATTCAATTTTACCTGAAGGCTGAAAATTACTGCCTAATCATTTTGTGGTACAATTGTGTATTTTTGTTATACATTTATCTTTTACATTTTATATGCAGTGAATCCATCTTACTTCCTTAGAATCCAAGTGCTTAGTAAGATAATACAAATTTGCATTCTGATCATCTGGAGTGTAAGATCACTCCCTGGTTTTCAGCTTTTTAGGTACTCAGCCTTCTGAGCTGCTTGATGTGTTTATTTCCTTGACTTCAATTACAGTTGGAAACCATTACCAAACAGATACATCTATGCACTTTGAAAGCGATGAGACTATGGTTCAGTATAAAATTCTATGGTTACTTTGCCTGAAAATATTATCCCTAGTCCTCATGAATGTCAGCGTAGCTTGTTGCATTATACTAGGAGAGCTCATTTGTCATCATAAGTTACAGATGAAAGGATGCTACCCAGTTTAGCTGGGTCCTTATCCAATGATGGCCT